AGACTTAGCAGGGGAAGAAAAAGAGGTAGACAAGGCACATCGCCTAGTGAGGCACTATCCATGAAGTCGAAATAGAGGCACATCACCTAGTAGGCCATTATCTGATGAGTTTAACTATCAGAGGTAATTGTTAACGTGATAGTTTTGTGGACCCACCATCCTATTGAAGAGGACTGGCAGGAGAATTTGGAGGGAATGGACTATCAGAGGTAACGATTGACGTGATAGTTTTGGTGGACCCGCCATCCTATTGAAGTGGATTGACAAGTTGATGATAGTTCTGGTAGATTTTATGGTTGATAGAGGTATTCTATTAAACATAACAACTCAGAAAATTTATTACTCATAATCCAATGAACTACAAATAAACCAACCCCCAGTCTTGAACAAGTGCAGGGGGGAAAAGGAGTAGGCTACTATCTAATGAGTTTGACTATCAGAGGTAATCATTAACGTGATAGTTATTAGAGACCCGGCATCCTACTGAAGAGGATTAGCTTCAGTGGTCGTAGTATCTTCCCCTTCTGACTGAGGAGATTAGGCTTGGTCCGATTGCTCAGGAGAAGGTTGGGCTTGGTCCGATTGCTCGGGTTGATCCTGCCTACTTTGTTCTTCAGCTTTGATCCTGGCAATAATCTTTTGAGCATGTTCGCCTTGAGAGATTAGTTGTCTCCAAGAACGACATTCTGCAACTCCGATTTGGGCTAGGAGGTCGATCTGCAAGTTGTGTCGATAGGTCTCTACTAAAGTAGACTGTGTCATACCTGACGAACACCGGAGAGCCATGGTTCGGAACCTTTTGACGAAGGCTTTGACGGATTCCCTCTTCTTCTGCTTAGTGGCGAGAAGGGTATGGATGAAGACTTCTGTATCCTCTTCAAAAAATCTTGACAGGAAGAGTCTTTCTAAATCTTCCCACCTTTGGATACATCCGATAGGTAGTTTCCTGAACCATTCAAAGGCAACTCTCTTAAGGGTGCCAATGAACAATCGAGCCAGTATGGCATCGTTTGATATTACATTCCCAAACTGTGACTTGAAATGATAAATATATTGGTTCGATGATCCCGTACCGTCAAAAGTTTGTAGCGTCGGGACTTCAAATTTTGGAGGATAAGGGGCTGCATCCCATTCGACAGGATAGGGTCTGGCAACTCCCTCGTCTTGGAGCTTGCTTCTGTTGGCCATGACATTGAGGCGAGCTTCCAATTCTTCCATTTTGGCAGACTGAAGATTATACTCGTTCTCAGTCTCTCTTTCTTCATCAGAGGAAGATTCCAGGTTGTGGGCTTCTTGGTCAGAAGCCATGTCATCAACCACCTTTCCCTTTCCTTTGCTTGTGTGAGGTCGGGATGAAGACGTTTTTTCTCTCCTGAAAGATTCTTGCCTAGGTGGCGAATCTATCTCCTGAGATTTGGCTTTGTCTGCGACAATTTGAGTCAACAGGGCCATGAGTTCATTGATGGCCTCTTGCTGAGATTTGAGCATGGCCTCCTGCTCATCAAGTCTCTTCGTGAGATCTTCATGGCTTTCTGTCATATAGGCGGAGCTTTCACGTTCAACAAAGGAACTTGACGATTGAGACTCCGCGATGGCTGAGTGTTCATCATTGGAATTGGTTCCTCTGGCTAACCTCCGATAGTTGACTGAGAGAATGGCTCATGTTCGCGTCCGAGTGCGTTGGTAGACTCCTTCAAATTCGTTAGCGATTTCTCTGACGGTCGGTGAACGAATTGTCTCAGAGTCATCGGAACTAGGACCTGAGTTTTTCCCTCTGCCGATCACATTGATAGTGACCCCAGGATATTCGGTCTCTGGAAACTTCTTCCTGTGCAAACGTCGTCGTTGGTTAGACAAAGCAACGTCCGTTAATTAGTCGAACACCAATGGTTTGGCCACATATGAGCAGCATTGATATCCCAAGAGGACCATAGGAATCAGCTGTTCACATTGGAATAAACGAATGACTTGCTGCATCGGTCCTTCTCTCGATATGAACTCTCTCAAATCTGTTGTAAAGATTCGAGGAGAATTACTCACTGATCGTGAGGTTTGAACTGGAACCCCCAGTCCATGATTGGACAGGACTGGCTCTTGGTGAATATGGATCTGGTTGAGATGCCTTGAATCCATAAACTTCTTATATCCGCCCCTCAATCTAGTCGCGCTACGCAGAGTATTCGGGGGTCTTTCTGCCCGGTCAGCGAGCCGGGGGTCCAGGGGGCGGCGCGCCCCTGGCCAGGGGGTCCGGGGGGATGGAATACCCCCCGGCGGGGTTCGGGGCAGCGCCCCGAAGCTCTACGGTATACACCAACTTCTGTATTTGATTTGGAACTTGGGACGCGAAGGTCGCTTTTGGCACCTGAGACGCGAAGGTCGTGTTTGGCACCTGAGACACGAAGGTCGTGTTTGGCACTTGAAACGCGAGGGTCGCGTCTGGCACTTGAAACGTGAAGGTCGCGTTTTGGTTTGACGACATGAGGGTCGCGTTCTTCATTGTCAACGCGAGGGTCGTGTTTTAACTTGGAAACATGAAGTTAAAGTTCGCGTTCAACGAAGGCTTGAGGTTCGCGTTTTGGCTGTAAAACGCGCCATTGAGGGCCGCGTTCAGTCTGGTTCTCGCGAAGCTCCTGTTCGGGCTCATAGACGCGGAGCTCATGGTCGCGTTTAGGCTCATGAACGCGAAGCTCGCGTTGGTTGGATGATCGACTTTCTCGAGGTTGTGCTCGTCGCTGAGACCTTCTTCTTCGACGAGCAGCGTTCTTCTTGGCCTGTTTTAAGGCTTTTGCAAGGGCATCATCGGTGTTGATTGGATCTATCTCCGTCTTAAGCCTTTTACCACCCATGACACATCGTGTTGACGCGGGTGTGGAGTTTTCAACTCGTTGAGCGAGTTTGGCAGAGGCAGAGCCCAGTCCTTCAGAGGAGGGGCTGTTTGATGAATTTTGACCAAAGGAGAGGACTTTCTTCGGCACTCCATCAACAGTTGGAGATTTAGTCTTCTTGGAGACTTTGTGGATCTTGCGCATAGCCTTAGGGCTAAGGGATCCGGAGGAGATAGCCTCCTCAAACTTGGCTTGATCAAACTCTACCACGAGAGTTTCGACGGTTGTTCCAGTGAGATGAACATCGAATTGCGCCACCACTTCTTCGTCACAGAAGCTTGTCCCTTGTAGGGAAAATTGCAAAGAAGAGAACAAAGAAAATTGACTTGTATTCCTTTGATTCTGATTACAATTCGATTACAAAAGAGAAGAGAACGAATTTGATTCTCTCCTTTGTTTAAAACTGGGTTCTTCTCGGTGGCGATGGAGTGCCTCCCTCGAATGCTCACATTGAGTTTGCTCTCCGTTGACGATCCGCACGTCTTGATTCACTGGAACGATGTCTTCTCCTCACGATTCGACGTTGTGGAGAACTTGTGTGGCAAGTTTGAAACTCTTGATGAGTTGATAACTCTGTGAAAGAGTTGATTTGAACCGAAGATCGGTTAATAAGCCAAGGCTAGAAGAAAGCTCCGGTGGTCGATCGTTGCTGAGGATGAACGTCGATCCCCCCCTTGTTGCCAAGCCAAAAGATCTCCTCTTCCTGCTGCCAAGAAATTCCCTCCTCGCTGCCCAGTCTCAGATCCAAAAATGCCAGTCTTTAACTTAGTTGAGTTTACCCATATTTATAGGGAATTAAGGGGTGTAACCGCCCCCTTAATTCTCTCCATAGTGGGGTAGCAATCCCTCAAATCGTGGAGGGAAAATGGTTCCTGCAACCGTTCAACTCGTGTTTGAACGAGTCAAACGCCCACGTAGGCGTTCAGGATCCTAACTCCGCGTTTTAGAATTGAGACGCGGAGTTTGGTACTCGCTGGGTGTTGAAAAACACGGGTCCGACCCCAGCGTTTTGTTGTAACGCGGGTCCGACTCCAGCGTTTTGATGTTGTAACGCGGGTCCGACTCCAGCGTTTTTTTATGTTGTAACGTGGGTTCGACCCTCGCGTTTTGATGTTGTAATGCGGATCCAACTCCAGCGTTTTTATGTTGACATACGGGGAGGACCTCCACGTTTTGGTGTTGATACACGGGGAGAACCTCCGTGTTTTGGTCTTAGAGCACGGTGATGAGTTCCGCGTCTTGCTTTGGAGAGATTATCAACAAGTAATCTCTTTTGTCATAGCGTTGCAAAGATCATTGTCTTGTAATCTTCGTCTTGGCTCCTTGAGAATATGAGAGTTGTCAGATTGTAACTCCCGATGTTGATTATGAATGTTGTTGAACTAGAGCTCTCATCGGTTGTCGTGAAGGTCGTCAGATTGTAACCTTCAGCGATCTACGTGAAAGTCTTTAAATTGTAATCTCCTAAAAGTCGTCAGATTGTAACTTCCATCATCAGTGTTTGATGGGGGATAAGCTATCTATTGTGATTTTTAGATAGCCTACACATATTATCAGCACTGCCAATTTAGTTATCATCATGTTTCTAACCATGAAGTAATTTTGATACTGTAAAAACGAAGTTTTACCTCTGGCGAAGCATTGTAATGCAGAACGCCATTCGTAGTGTCTATACGTATTCCAAAAGGTCGTCCAGCATGCCAAAGTCCCACGTATCTGTCAGGGGGTGGGTAATTCTAGTCATTGAATTTTTATTTATTTATTTTGAATTTGTAGATTATGACTAAGCTCAGTGATGTGGATGCAGAGTTAAATGTGATTGATCGGATAAGGATCAATTTTTTGTTTTTATTTTGGTTGGATATATGCGAGTGTAGATTTTGATATCCAGATGCCTGTATTTTAACGTACGGTTAAAAGTGTTTTGCCCTTGGATTAGTGGATCTGAAGCCAACTTTTGATGATCCAAGGGTTTAGTCCTAGATTCTTAGTGGCGGCGAACATTTTGTTGTTTTTTTTTGGTTAATGAAAAATATGTATTCATTTACCAATTTGGAAAAATTTGTACATCAGTTCATTCCAACTTTGCTGGAAGTGTCAAAGAAAGAGAAAAATTTACATGTGCTCTATCTTTTCCTTTATATAGACATGTATGTCATCATTTAGAATTTTTGATAGAATAGTAATCTTCACAGATCTAAAAACAGGTTCAGGCCCTCTTGCAATGGATTGGAAGATCCTCCGATTTCTCTCTTGCCATATAGCATAGACTGAAACAGACAAAGCCATTCTCTTAAGCTTCTTCAAAAATCCCTCACCCTTTAACCTCAAGGTATACCAATCAACAATATTATCCCAGATACAAGATCTCCATTTGTAATTCAGCCAGTCCATGACTCTATTCCATATGTAAACTGAATAATCACATTCAAAAAATAGATGTTTGCAAGTTTCCGGCTGCTGATGAGAACATAGAGTGCAGGTGTTTGTGTCAAACACCCTCATGCGACACAGCCTTTCCTGTGTTAACAATCTTTGATGAATGACAAGCCATAGGATAAAAGAATGATTTGGGTAATGACATCCATCCCAGACTGTTTTATACCATGGAGCTTGTACATTTTGGTGGATAAGCACATTGTAAATAGAGGAAAGATGAACCTTGCTATCAGAACAATTCACTGCAATGATATTCTGCAGATTTGTCACACTGCCAAATTTTCCAATCATCTTATCCCTGATTTTTATTATCTGTTTCCACATCCAAGAGTCATTAACTTTGGCTTGAACTAGCCATATGCTAGTTTGCTTTAGGTAATTCTCATGAACCCATTTAATCTATAGCATGTCTTTCTTCAAGTGAATCAACCATAGCAACTTCAAAGCTACAGCTTGATTCCAGAATTTAGCAGCATATATTCCCAGCCCACCATGTTTTTTTACTTTGACAGATATCTGACCAGGACACAAGATGAATTTTGCCATTCCATAGAAAATCAGAGCATAAACTATCAATTTTCTCTAAGACTTTGACTGGCAGTATGTAGTTGCTTGTCCAAAAGAGATGGATACCCAGTATAACTGATTTAATAAGTTGCAGTCTACCAGCATAGGACAGTGCTTTCTTCTTTTGCCAACATTGGAATTGCTCAGATATCTTATTGATCAGGGGGGAACAATCCATGCATGACAGTCTTTTCGAGATCAGGGGAACACCCAGATACCTCACTGGTAGAACACCCTCAGAAAAATTGAGCAATGAGCAAATCTGAAGCTTTAGACTATTATCAATGCCACTCATGTATATAGAACATTTATTAGGATTGGTTTCTAACCCAGAAACTTTACTAAACTCAGAGAGGCACTCCTTCAATTTTGCTATTGAATGAATATCAGCTTTGCAAAAGAGCAACAAATCATCAGCAAAAAATAAGTGGGTTATCTTGAGCTTTGAGCATTTGGGATGGTATCTGAAGAGACTGTCATTTTTGAGAGAATTTAATTTTCTGGACAGATACTCCATCCCAAGAACAAATAAGTATGGTGAGAGGGGATCCCCTTGTCTTAAGCCTCTAGCTCCTTTGAAGTATCCATGCAAAGTACCATTAAGAGATAGAGAGAATTTGGAGGTGGTGATACACTCCATGATCCATTTAACCATAGTCACAGGGAAACCCATACCAAGTAACATAGAGTGAATAAAATTCCAGTTTATGGTGTCGAAAGCTTTCCTCAAATCAATATTAAGAATTGCTCTTGGGGATGTGTGTTTTCTGCCATAGTGCTTTATAAGATCATGAGCAAGCATAATGTTACTTTTAATGAGCCTTCCTTTGATAAAAGCACTTTGGGCTTCATTAACTAGAAAACCAATTACTCCCTGAATTCTATTTGCAATGATTTTGGAGATTATATTGTAAACACAATTACAACAGGAAATAGGTCTATAGTCTGAAGGAGTTTTAGGGTTAAGGATTATTGGTATTAAGGTGATTGATGTAGAGTTGATAGCACCAAGAAGCTTACCAGTCCTGAAAAACTCCTCTGTTTGGTATTAAGGTGATTGATGTAGAGTTGATAGCACCAAGAAGCTTACCAGTCCTGAAAAACTCCTCTGTAGCTAGATAGACATCGCTTACCAGTCCTGAAAAACTCCTCTGTAGCTAGATAGACATCCTCTTGAATTTCATTCCAGGCAGCTTTGAAAAAAGAGGCATTATACCCATCAGGTCTAGGAGCTTTTTCACTAGGAATAGAAAACAAGGCTTGTTTAATTTCATCTCTTGTGACTGGAGAACTCAGGCAGCTGCTTTGAGTAGAGGAGAGAATAGGACCATTTGATATCACCCTTTGGTCAGTCTCCATAGTTTGCCCAGTAGTGCCCAGGAGATTGGTGTAATAACTAATGAATTCAGATGTAATATCTGAAATATCTGTTAGCCTCTCACCATTGTCAGTGTACAAGGATAGAATCTTATTTTTATTTCTTCTGGCTTTCATAACAGAGTGAAAGAAGTGAGAGCACTTATCCCCATACAGTCCCCATTTGATGCTAGCTTTTTGTCTGAAGAAAGAAGCTTCAAAATCAACCAGTTTCATATATCTACTCAAACATTCCTTCTCTTTTGATATTAGATCAGAATTGAAAGGATCATCATTAAGCTGGAGTTGGATATCAGAGAGATTACTTTTTTTCCTCAAGACCTGCTCACTGATATTCATGAAGTGTTTTTTGTTCAAATCTTTCAGTGCAGGTTTGAGATTTTTCAATTTCATATGCAGTTTATACATGCAGAAACCCCTGTAATTCTGCTCCCATACAGATTTAACAACTTTGCTGAATTCAGGATGCTTGATCCACATATTGAAGAATTTGAAAGGTTTTTTACCTTCACAGATGTCATCAACTATTGTTACCAAACCTGGAGAGTGATCAGAGAAGGATGGAGCAAGGAAATCAACTTGGCTTGAGGTATATTGATGGATCCACTCCTCATTCACCAAGACTCTATCTAATTTACTCTAGATTCTTGAGACAGCATCCTGCTTGTTACACCAAGTGAAGAAGCAACATGTTGTTTTCAGGTGAAGTAATTGACATGAAGTAATGAAATTGCTAAAATCCTCAGTCTCAGAATCTGTAACAGGAGATTCCCCTATTTTCTCTTCATTACTGATAATAGTATTGAAATCTCCACCCACAAACCAAGGAGAATTGACACTTTGCTTGAAAATTAACAAGTCTCTCCAGAGATTTTTCCTCCCTTCTTGATCATTAAGGGCATATACTATAGTGGCAATGCAAGAAATTTTACCATCTTTAGAAGCCACAGTGCATGAAACATATTGGTCAGAGGAAGAAATACATTGAACTGACAGAATATTGCTGTCTCATAGAATCCATATTCTACCATTTCCTGCCTGTTGAGAATTAGAAATCCAATCCCAATCTTTAACCATTTTCTTGGCTATGATTTTCATTTTAGTATCAGCAACTTTAGTTTCCAGGAGAGCTATAAAAGCAAGTTTGTAATCATGCACAAATTGCTTCACTAGCATATGTTTAGAGGCTTTATTTAAACCTCTAACATTCCAGACTGCTAGTTGTATTTATTGAGGGGTATCCCCTCTATCAATGCTAGAGGGGGCAAATTCATTGCTTTGATCCAATAAAGAGTATAGGGAAACTTGAATATGAGGTGATGTATGTCTAGCCAATGGTGATCTTCTATAGAATTCCTGTTTACACTTGTAAAGCCACTGGCATTCACAGAAGGGGATATTTTTTGCATAGCAGGATTTGTCACATGCCCAGGTTCATAAACAGATTTCCCCTTATCAACCTGCATATTATTGCTGCACAGCACTGTTTGTGCATGTTTTGAATCCCCTCCAGCTATTTGAACATCCATCTCACCTCCAGATATTTGATCAGATGTTCCATTTGTAGAATTCACAGAAGAGATAAGCACTGCAGGAATGTGCCCAGACTCTTGTTGTGCATGATTCCTGGATGAAATCTCTCCAGGTAATTGATTAAATGAATCTATCACTCCTCCAGACATTTGCTGTGCATGTTTCCTAGTTGAGATCCCTCCAGGAACTTGATTAGATAAAAATATCTCTCCTTCAGGCAATTGATCAGATATTCCATTTGTAGGTTGTGCATGTTTGTCAGAATTGCCAGCAACCTGTTTTGGAACCCATATTTTCTTCATTGTTAATCTTCTACACTGATCAACTTCATGCCCTACCATTTTGCAATTGGTACACCATCTTGCCTTTAATTCATATACCACTTTCTGTATATACTTTTTCCCATCTGGACTTTGAATGATTAATTGATCAGGCAAGGCCTCTTTTAAAGGCAAATCAACTTCAAGCAAGACCCTAGCATAAGATAACCTTTGTCTCATAGCCGTAAGCTTATCAGTAGTGATGGGATTACCTATGAGGCTACCTAGCATAAGATAACCTTTGTCTCATAGCCGTAAGCTTATCAGTAGTGATGGGATTACCTATGAGGCTAGCAATCTTACTTATGCCTGAAGAGCTCCACAAGTTTAATCTCAAATTTGGGAATTGAACCCACATTGGATAGGTGCAGTCTTGGATTTTTTCCACATCAGTGTCGATTGTCCAAGGTTTCAAAACTAATGGTCTTGAGCCAAAGAACCAAGGACCAGCCTCTAGTACATTATCCATTTGTTGTTTATTATGAAATTCAAAAAGAAAAACCCCTTGCTTGATCAGGTAGACTTTAGGAATTGAGATTTTTCCCCAAATCTTGTTGACATATGTTTCCATGGGCTTAAATTTCACATTTAATCCAGTAATATGACCAATTAAAGTAAATCTCCAAAAATCTTCACCTTCTTTCCATTCAGATTCCGAGAAAGATACAGAATGACCTTGATCGGATGGAATAAAGTTCAATGACAATCCATAACCTTGCTTCCTGTTATCAGAGAAAAGACTAGCAAAAGATTTTGATGCTACAGGTTCATTTTCATTTAATCCATCCTTTCTTACTTGATTTTCAACAGTGATTTCATTTTCATTTCTTTCCAGATCTGCATTATTCTTAACAAATTTATCAGAGCCAGTAGCAGCAGAGCTGGAATCCATATTTTGATCTATTATCTCATTTAGATCGGAATCAATCAAATCTTCAACTTGAACCGACCAAGAATTTGGAGATTTACTAAGTTGACGAGGGATTATCATACCAGATTTCGACTTAGGAGATAGAGGATCAGACAGAGCATTAGATCTGGCAAGAACTTCCTCAATCAGCATCTTCTTCCTTGCTCCTTTAGGGCCAGTACTTTCCATTTCTTGAGGAAATGAAGAATTCACTGTTTCATTCAAATCAGCAGCAGAGATAGAAGTGGACTCCAGGACCAGCATAAGTGAAGATGGAATCTCTCAACTCATTACTTTGAACTCCCTTCGTACTAGATCTCTTCTTCTTCGCCATTAAGAACCAGGCGGAGGAGCACGATAGCAAAGAAAATCGCTTGCTATCATGCGCCTTACAGACCGCGCCCTTTTTTTTTGTCGGTATTTGATTTGATGAATTTGGATTTTTAGATAGTTATTATATCTTATGGCTTATATTTTCAGATATCTTAGTTATTATATCCTTTTCATATCTAATACATGCTTGTATCTATTTTCCTCCATCCCTTTCTATATATCATCTCCTCGCATCCT